TGCATGTTGCAATCCGCTGGCTGAAACCCAACACCCCTTGAAGCCCACATACCACAGAACCACAGCCATGCTGCATAAACAGAGGGGGGAAAAAAAAAAAAAAAAAAAAAAAAAAGTAAGGATATGAAGTCCTTACTTTTCAGAAAACTTCTTCTTAAAGATGTGGGGAGTGGGACTTGGGGGTGAGGGGAGGTATGAGAAACTGAAAACTTTGCTGGTGTTCCTGAGTATGGTATTTTTTTTATCTGCTTTGATTTGCGGAAATCAGACTTTATAACCTCAGAATAGTTATAACGCAGGTATATTTATTCAGTGCTGTGCAACTTGCTGGGCGCAAGGGGGATAGCTCCACCTAACTTGCATCCCAACAGTTACTGGCAGTGTGCTTATATTTGTAGGATATATATACATATTCATTTCATTTCCTGTAAGTCTCTTGCATCAGGTCTCTGAAGAATCAGTAACGTAGGTTCTGTCTCTGTTTGTATGCATACTGGTGTCATTGAGTGGTCATCCGGTGTAGTCTGGTCGTCTTTTGTTGAAGGTCAGAAATCTTCCTCCCTGCTAATATTCTGACTTTTCCTGTCTTTGACAGGCTTCAGCAGTCAAGACAGTTCTTGCTGGTTCTGTTACCTATGCATACAGTCTTTTACTCCCTTGTCTTCGGGGTCATTAACATACAATTGTGCTAGCTAAGACCTAGGAATCAACATCCTTTATCTTGTTCCCTATCTCAGCTTCTTACACTTGCTGCAAGATTCAGGACTAGGGAAGGAAGGCATTTAAAAGGTATCATCACAGGCAGAAATGCCTTGTGTTTCCCCGAAGCCCTTGACAGGAGTGTTCTGGCCAGATGGGCATGACGGCCCCTCTGCAGTGCACTGCTACAAAGCTGCTGAGCGGAGCCACCTGCCCGCTGCAGTGCAAAGCAAGAGGGTGCATGGTGGGTGAGCCCTGGGCTGCAGTGTGTTGGAGGGACAGGCAGGCAAGAGCTTCCTTCCTTGTCCTCCTGTGCCCAGCAAGTCATAGAATCATAGAATCATAGAATATCCTGAGTTGGAAGGGACCCTTAAGGATCATCAAGTCCAACTCTTGACACCGCACAGGTCTACCCAAAAGTTCAGACCATGTGACTAAGTGCACAGTCCAATCTCTTCTTAAATTCAGTCAGGCTCGGTGCAGTGACCACTTCCCTGGGGAGCCTGTTCCAGTGTGCAACCACTCTCTCTCGTCCCAGTGCAGTGCCAAGGGTCAAAGCCAGACCTGCACAGTGCTTTTCAAAAACAAACAAAATCAAACCAACCAACGAACCAATTAAACGAACAAAAAAAAACCAACAAACACACAATCCAGACTGAAGCCCAACACAATGCATGGAGAAGACGCTGTGGTTATTGGAAGACCACCAAACTTCAAGGAGAGGATGAGACGCAGAAAATGCTGCCAAATCCCAAGCAGGTCATCTGCTGGAGACCAGGAAAACCTCGACTAAGGCAAGCAGTTTTGTGTAGGAACAAAAGGGCTCTGTTTTGCTAATTAAATACTTACCTTAAACTTGATAAGTGCTCTCTGTTAGCATTGTTTGCCTCAGGGGGAGAAAATGTCTTCCATAATGATGTTTTCCCTGGCATTTCGGCAGGTCTTTCTGCAATGCTGTCATGCCTCATCCCATGTCTGGGTCTGTTTCACCAGGGGCAGGTCCATCCTGGTTGTTTTTGGTGATGTGGGGATTCTGGCTTGCATGGCACTGCCAGCACGTGGCTAGGGCAATGCTTAAGCACCTGCTGGTCTTTAAGACCAAGGTCCTGAACTTGTGCTCAAGAGGCCTGGGCATCATCCCAGCTGCTGCAGGAGGGGCTGAGCAGGGATGCTGTGAGCAGGAAAAATGGGCGGCTCATCTGGAAGTGGCAAACACCAGAAAGCCCGTATGGATCCTAGGAATTCAGCTTGGCAAAAGCTCTTTTCATACCAAAATGGTGCATCTGCTTCAACCTGACAGCAGCAGTAGATCAGTGAAGAGCCAAGCTGATTTTTGAAAATGGGTCTTCCGCATCCACCTAGTTACATAGTCCTAAATGTATTTTACTTCTCAATAGCCTGAATAAAGAGTAATTTGCATTCTAAGTGTAATATTAAACTCAACAAAAATCCTTAAATTATATATCCAACAAAAGGCTTCATCATTCATCACTGGCCTTTCTGCCTTGGGGAGGGGGGAGGGGAGGGGGGGCAGCAGGAACAAAAGCATCATTTGTCCTCATTGTATTATGTGTTAACCCTATCTACATCCCAAAGAAGTTTAAGCAGTACAGTTCAACAGGAGTGCTTTATTGCTTGCAGTACTGGGTATGGAGGATGCTTCTGCTCCTTTTCGCAAATTCAGAAAAGCCCCATGTTCTGCCCCTGGGACAAGGTGTCCAGCGAGCGGTGGGTGGCAAATACTGACCCTGGCAGCTCTGTGACCACCATACAGCTTCACAGCTTTGGACACTTGTTATCAGCTACAACATTGGTGGAGTCAGTTTGGGATTTTCTGTCAATTTTGGTTTTTATGACTTTTTTTTTCAAAGTGGGCTGCTAGTAGGAAAGAGTAAATTTTAGTGAATATCCAAATTAAAAGAAAGCATGATGTAGGGAACCAGATGCAGATTATTAATTCAACTCTTTGGTTTCAGGCCAGGGAAACCTTTTGCAATCTCAAACTCTCACAGCCGGAAAACATCTGTGATTTCCACACATCCCATCTATTTCAGCTCTTCCTGCAGCTCCTCACAGCCAAACATAGATGCATTGGTGTTGCTCATATTTATTCCTGTCCTGAGTGAGTGTACCAGGGTAAAAGCTGAAGCAGATATGCGCTTGGGGCATTTTTGTGGAAGCTAGAAGGCTTCTGGCTGTTAGTCCAACTGGAGGCTCTTATGCTTGCAGTACCAGAGCTCCCTTTGGGTTTAAATTATGCAGCAGACATCCTGCCATCTTTCTGGAGGTAACATGTTGTTCCAGTTCCCCTCTTATCATGTTTTCATTTCTAAGCTGCTTGCTGGACACATTGCTTCTAATTGCAGTTGACTCAACTGGCAAAATTTATCTGGCAAGCACCGATCAATAAATGTGATACCACCCTAAGGGCACTGATTTAATGCTTCTAAAAGGTTTTCTTCTTATCTGCCAACTCTGCTTCTCTCTGCAACTTCATTTCGAGGGGGTGAGCACCTGCTAGCTGAGACATTCAACTCATTTCTTCATTCCTTTCCACAGAAATCTGATCATGAAAGCCTGGCAGCGGGGATGCGCTCCAGTTCCTGTCCCGTTGTGGCCAAGCAGGATGGTGGAAATGGGTGGCATGGTTTGGGCCTGCTGTCTGGAGAGGCGCTGGTGGCTGGTCCCTCAGCTACAGTCCATCCCTTGAGGTGAGGTACCTATAGCAGCAGCGATGTCCATGACCAACACTGCAAGGGCTTAATGACTCCATTGGCCGCCTTCCCTGCCCTCCATGCATTTCTCCCCGCCTTTGGCAAGTTGATAATTTTTGGTGCGTGCTGAGAGGCCAGGGCTGTGACTACTTCCACAAGGACAGACTTGGTGCAAGCCCTCCATGAGGTTGGACCTCTCTGCCAGCAGGGCTAGCACTGGACCAGTGTGCTGGTTCTGAATGAGGCATGAGGGTGAAGCCAACCGTTTTGCTGTGCCTGTCCCCTCCCTTCGAATCCAAGCCACCAAACTGGCTGGCAGAGGAGGCAGGAAACTTAAGTCAAGTCAAAACCAGGCTGAAAGCCCTCAAAAACTGTTGTGTTCATGCAGGTGAGTTGTGGTTCTGAAATGAGCTCACAGGAAGCTATCTGCTCCTGTCCTGCGATGTGCTTTGGGAGGGTTATTTGCATAGTCTCACACTGTTTGCAGTGGATGTGGGGGTGGTAATTTGCCTTCTGCAGACTCTATTGTCTCTCTGAGACATGGCCAGGCTCTCAGTTGCATCCAGGCCTGGGCTGGATCATGACCCCCCTCCAAGCATATGGGCAGCTCTGTCCCTTGTGTGTTGGCACAAGGAGGCAATCACAGGAGAGTGAATATCCATTGTGACTCTGTCTCCTTAAGCTTAAATTCTGCGCAGTGAGGATGGTGAAAAATATCTTGAAATCCATTTTAACATCAATTTAATTTCAGGACTACTGTTATGAAAGAAAGGGTTTAATGTTACCTCTGGGGGAAAAAAAAAAAAAGAAAAAAAAAAGCAGCAGTTTCAAATTACTTGACTGTGGGTAAATTTTGTTTTATTTTATTTTATTTAAGGACAGCATCATAATTTATTTTGTTGAAGTGTTTCTAATGGGTAAGCTTTTGTAATGCATAACTAGTGTGCTGTATCATGGGAGTCATGAAAAACAGGGCTAGGAGGCATCTCTAAAGGATTTGTGTCCAAACTCTGCTCCAGGTAGGATCACCTCTATGTAAACTATTCATGCTTATTGTCTAACACATTTCCTAAAATCTCTGGTGATCTTCCCACACAAGCTGTTCCATAACCTTGCAGTCAAGCTATGAAACTCCCTTGCAACTTGCAAGCATCTCATCCACAGGCTACCCATTTTTTAATAATTTTTTTAATAACTGATTGTTGCAGTTTCATCATTTTTTGTTGATTTGCGTTGCTTTGCAATCATTTCCCATGGCAGTGGGTGGCACGGGAAACTCCCATCCGCCTGGGTTGCAGCCCCCGCCCGACAGGCACGGCGATGCGTTGCGGCTGCCTTATCCCAAAATCGAGGCGAACACGGCGATAGGATTACGGGTGAGAGGAAATAAAATAAATAATAAAAGAAAAAATAATAAAAGAAAAAGATGATAAAATAAAATAGTAAAATAAGATATTAAAATATATATATATATATATATTTAAATCAGGAGGTGGGGCTGAAAAAAAAAGAAAACAAAAAAAGAAAACGCAAATTCAGCGGCTCTGCCCGCCGCTTTCCGGTGGGACCCGAAGGGTCCGCCCCGCTCCGCCCGGAGGCGGCCCCGGGGCGGGGCAGCGGCGGGGGTCCCGTCCCCAGTACTGTCCCCGGTCCCACCCCGGTGCCGGCCCCGTCCCGGCCGCGCTGCCCAGCGGCAGAGAGGTGAGCGGGGTAAAGGGGGGACAGGGCCTGGGAGGGCTGCCCGAGGGGCTCCTTCGGAGGAGGGGAATTGAGGGAAAAGGTGTTTTTTTTTGTTTGTTTGTTTGTTTGTTTGTTTTTTTGTTTTGGTTTGTTTTGGTTTTCCGCGGCAGACTTTTCCGTGAGCAGCTTCCCGTGGGCTGCAGCCGAGCTGCTTTTGGAAATTCGCCTCCATGGGGCTCAGAGCAGGGAAGAGCTGGCCTCGGACCGTAGGGGGGAGCCGCGGAGGGTCCGGCGGGAATGGATGGCTCCCTTCCCGCTGCGGCACGTCCTTCTGGCTGGGTTTTCTGCAGGGGAGCACCCCTTGGTTCCCTGCGTGGCCTCCTGCGCAGGCATCGGGTTCTGAAGGGAGCTAGGGGGGGCGCTGGGAGCCGCACGTAGGGTGCCCGCCTGTACCACAGCCTGAAAAGGCTCTGTGCAACGTGAGAAGGGAGAGGTGAGCGCTGAAGCCCTGGGTCCAGGTGAACGACAGTAGTGTAACAGGAGGATGCGGAGAAAAGGGTGAGCTGGAGCGCAGGGATGCACCGATCCTGCTGCCAGCAGCGATGGGCTGGCTTGGAGGCGAGCGGAAAGGCGGAAGAGCCAGTGTCAGGAGGGAGCGTGGCTGGCCGTCATGTTTCTCGCAGACATGCCTTGAAAAGGGTCAGAGTTTGAGCCGGGGTAAGGGTTGAGGTCTGAGGGAGAAGGATGGACACTCACAGTGGAGCTGTGGAAATGCTCGCTGTGGTAGCAGGGGAAGAAAGCTCCAGTGAAATAGTTGTAAGGAACCGCATACATGTAACTCCTGGAACTGTAGCAATCTAAACCCACAGCACTTGCTGAAAGGTGGTGAGTCCCACAGCCTTGGCTAAAAATGACTTAAATCAGCACGTGTTTCCTAATGCATGAGAAGCTGCTCACCACAGGCTCGTTGCTTCTGCGCCCTGATGCATCCCCCACCAGCTTCTGCTGAGATCTCTGCCTTTGCACTGCTGCTGCTATTTTTGTTACTGTGGAAGCCTGAGGAGCTAATCTTATGGGGCTCAAATTCCCCTTTTTATGGTTCTTGTAGAAATTCCAGCTGTGTCTCAAGGCAGCAGCTCTGTGGGAAGAAGTGATGGCCCTTTTTTCATTCTTGTGCCCCTGCTTTGGCAGCACAAAAGTGATAGTCATCCTTGAGGAACAGCAGGTCTGATGCTGGGTGAACGGTAATCTGCCTGGTTTTAGGTGTGCAGCTCACTGCTGTGAGCCATGTTTGCCTTCTCACAGGATTCCCACTGCTTCTCAAAGCTTCTCAAGGCATTGATCAGTGGCACTGATGAAGCCTTTCATGCTCAGGGTTCTTGCAGGGCCAAGGGATCTCACAGCTGGGGACCGTGAAGCTGTGGACTGTGCAATTTGATGTTGCTACTGAGATGAGTTAGGTGCTACCACTACAATGATGCAGCCTCCTGGTCACCTCTTCCTGCATCTCTCTTTGTGCCACCACCTGTGCCTGTCTCACCCTGCAGTGGAGCAAAACTGGCTGTGGGAGCTAAACGAGTAAGAAGGTGAAATCCTTCAGCGGAATTAGCTTTTTGGTGCTTGAGCTTTCAGGGCTGTTTACAGCAGGGGCAGAGGAGCATTAAGGAAGAGTCTGAGGAGGAAGGGAGTGGGCTTAGCAAAAATTAGCTGTCAGTTTGGTTTTGTTGTGCCATTGACCAGTACTGTGTGTGTCAAGAAGTACTTATGAGTAATCTTACATCCATCTTACATTTTTTTTTAATTTGATAATTGCTATAGAGACAAGTTGCTGCCTGCCTACTGTAACTGCCATATAAAACCATACTGATATGGCTATTCCATACAGAGGTGAGACCACATTCATAGTGTTTAGCATTGAGTAAGTCTTGCCATAAGTACCATTGTGGTTTGGATCAGGTATGTGCTGGCAGGAGAGATTGGGTTCACCCTTCTCATCTTTTCTGGCACCCCCAGTAAATCAGCATAGCTGTACTATCACTTAGCTCCTGAGGGGTTGCTCTTCCCAAGCTCATGAAAGTCTTGTAGTGTGTCTTTTGGCTTTGAGACTATGACACCTTTCTCTGTGCTCATCTAGGCTTGCCTTTTTTCCCCACAGGCACTCCTGCCCAAACAAATGCTTTAATTCCTTTACCTTTTTGGTTGTTCAAATCCATAAATTTTATTTTGTGTGGTGCTTTCACTTGGTGGCAGTTATTTTGTTAGCAACTGTCATGATCCAAAACAGTGAACAGAGCCTTGCTTCAGAGCCAGTATGCATCACGGGGTGTGGTGTGCTGCAGAGTTCAGGAGTCATCATCATGTCACCAGTCAACCCAATGTTCCAGCACAGCTTCAGCCTGTTTAAGGAGGGAAGAGGAACAACACAAACAAAAGAGCATGTGAAGCTCTGTCTTGGGCAACAAACCATCATCCCCCTTTATATCCTTGAGACATGAGAGGGTGTAGGGCACCACCACTTAGGCAACCGATGGATGCTGTTGATTGTGGTCTTTCTGAGACAGCTGATAGATGATGTTTCTTGCTTTCCATTATTTTCCTTTAAACAAGTTTTATTTCTCACATCAATCCCTAATTTCTCAGGAGATGTCATTCCTCCTTTTCCTGTTCTGCTCTCATCAATGACACATTGTCTTCAGGATGTCTCTGTATGAAATGTTCAGCCCCACTGCAAGGATGTCCTTGGTTCCTAGGCTAGGTTCCTAGGCCTGTTCTCAGGCTGGCAGACTTTTCCTTCTGTCTGTGTTTAGCAGTCTGACTGCAGTCAAGCTACCTCTGTAGCTGCTCCCACGACTCCACCCTTTGGCCTATGATCAGTTAAAGCTCAGTAGGAGTGAGACTACACCATACGTGATGCGTCTCTCTTGCCACCTAATGTCTGAGGTGGAAGAGACATCCATTTGGGACCAATGTTGCTGGAGCTTCTGGGATGGTTTGGCAGATAAAGCACACACAAATTGTACCAGTTTAGATAGAAGTGATACACATGGTGGTTTGATACAAGATGCAATACTGAAAAGCATAGATCCCACAATTAAAATGGAAGCTAATAGTAGTCAGGCATGCCATCCCCATATTCTGAAGCCTAGCAGCCAAGACCGTGGACGGGCCTTCAAGCAAGAATTGTCTTTGCACTATTTGGTGAAAAGTATGGATGTGCTGCTGAATAATGTTAACATCATATTCAGTCTTTTTGGCTTTATTTGGCTCTTATGCTTTGTTAGCATAAAAGCAACAGGTTGTATGAATACACAAACTCCTCCAAGTGAAGCTAAAAGATGATCTAAGGCCCAGCAATTTTAGATTGCCAATTGTAAAGCAAACTAATCTTTGCAGATCTGTTAAAGCATACACAGTAGTATTTTGGGTAGTATTGGGTACAGTGGAGATGTTATCAATAGCTCGTTCCAGTTTGGCAACACCCAAGTTTAGAAGCAATGAATATATAGCTTTATGAAATGCAGTTGATCTTGTTGCTAAGGGATTGTGCGTTCTGCACTTATGAAGTACCAGGTAATGGTTGTTTGGAAAACTAAGGGTTAGATTTTAAAATCAAAATGCAAAGTGCAACTACCACCATGGTGGTAGACTCTTATAGGTATCAATGCCACAAAGCCAAAACCATCCAGGTGTTAAAACAGTAGGCCACCAGCCTTGCCTGGAATTATTGCGATGTTTTCAGAACAAGCACTGTGGATCAGGAGAGTAATTAAATTTCATTAAGCATGTTTGGCTCAACCAGATTATCCAAAAGAGATTTCTATTTGTACAGCCAGATGTGTTGTCTGGGCCATATGTATTGTTAGTGCTCAGCCAACCATTTTTCTACTGACCATAGTGTGTAGAACTAGAACCAGTGAAATTATAGCATCTTTGATGATTTGTGTTATTAGCATTCCATGTAAGATTTTATAATTTCAAGACATCAAAAGCAAATTTGTTTGTAACTGCTGATTGATTTTCACAGGCCCATGTAGCTCTCAGGGCAGCATCAAGAGAAGCTTGTGTGCTGTTATGTTTAAAACATGGTGTACTTGGGTGTGGTTGTAATAAAAGGAGCGATTACAGCTGTTTGTTCCCACCCATCCTGAATTTGTGTACCGTGGCATTATGAAGCACCAAGGGGGTGCTTTACTCCTATTTATAATAGGAGTGTACTTTAAGAGGTTGCTGTTGGTAATTCAGAGTATTGGGAAGTAAGTTTAGTAAATTAGGCTGGTACCAAAATATTTCATAGATTTTTTCTGCCAACCACCAGAATTCAACATCTGGTGTTTGAGGGCGGTGTAGTCAACACCAGCAACAATTATAAGAGGGAAGGAAAGTCTCTCACGTTGTTTCATTTCATGTCAAATTGACAGTCCATCATTAAGGGAAGCAGGGTAGAACTTTGTTCCAGGTGAGTCTTTCTAGCTGCTGGTGTTATCTGGCTGCTTGTGTTAAAGTTCAGACAACTTGAAGGGAAAACAAAATCTCTTCATCCCTTTGGATATCAGGTAGTTTAGAAATCTGTTGCTCAGAAATGTGATGATCGCAGTGATCAAACATCTTTCTCAAACTTTCTGTCTTTTGGTTTTCCAGTACAGGAGCCACTGGGTGATCTCACAGGAATCAGCATGCGTTGTGCCTGCTCCTGGCATGGTAGCTCACGCTGCCCATCAGGGCTCTACCAGGAGCTGGCCTCTCTGTCTCTCATGTGTTGGATGTCCTGATGAAGGTGAAAAAAGGCAGCTTTACCCTTCCCTGTCTTTTTAACCTTTCGAGTTGATTCAGCTATAAAACAAACATTAGACAGAACCCAAAACAGAACCTAAAAATAGAGTCTGGGTATTCTGGTATGAATCAGATGGAGGTGGTACATCACAAATGGGTGAGGGCAACATATCAAGGAGTGGCTTGTTACCCTCTTGCCATTGAACATTGTATACTGCTCATTGCCCTGGCCCCACAGCTCCATTCTCAACACACCTCAAATTAAGGGACGTAGCAGGAATGACCCATGGACTAGGTTCATCACATGGGACACTGGTTCAATGCAATAAGGTTATCATAGCCACTAGTAATAATGCTTCCTGCAGTTCATCTGGAGCTCACCAGGTGATCAGAGATTCCTTTGCCCAGTCTTGGTAATGGACCCCTTCTGCCCACTGAATCACAAAGGTCTGTAAGGTTCGGGGACATTCCCTCTGAGGGTGAGGAAAATTTATATATAAATCTTCTGCTGATCCTGCAAACAAAGATACTCCTGCTGCTTTATCATGCCAGAGACAGCACGACCATTTAACTATTGACTCCACAGGTCGTGTTTGATATGCTGCCTGAATTTTTCTCAAATAATCCACATTGAAACCTCAAACTTAAGTAGTATTTCATCTCTGTGGATTGTTCCCCCATGATTCATCAGCAGTGACTTCTTGTTTGCTGAGGAGTCCAATTGTTATGGAATCAGTAATTTTCCCCATCAGATTCATCTGAGCTGTCCCAGATATTTCCATCCCAGTCACTATAACACACAGATACACAGACTTGTAGAATTAAGTATAACCAAATTAAATCTTTCACATATAATTCACCTTTCAGTCTATTTTCCTCTTTTAAACTTTCAGCTTGTTCATTCTCAATTTTCCATACTGCATTTGGATTAGGGTGACCCTAACTTTTCCTTCCCAGTGGCAAATAGTTGAGTTGGAGGTATTATTCATGAAGATTTTGCAGACCTCAGGATGTTGCATCTCCAAGTATGGGCCACACTGTGCAGCATTAAGGCTAAACTCTGATTCTCCACATGCTGGATTTTCCAGAAATATTGCTTTCACTGTATCTGCTGCTGTCATGTCCTGGGGTAGAACACCTTGTGCATTAAGGACATCCCAGGTGGCCCAACTCCAAGTCCATTCAGAGAAATGTTCAGGAGTATCTCAGGGAAGAGGGAGGATTATATCTCTATTTCCCATGCATTTGCCTTATATCGTGTAATATTCAGTTTAATAAGGAGAAGTTGTCTCCAGCAGTGCTTGCATCAGTTTTGAAGAACTATTCTGTTTTCCAGGAAGCTCTGTCTGGCTTCATCCTGACAAAGTATGACAGCCCCAGCTCCCAGTTTGAAGCATCATGACACCTACCTTAACTGGTCTTCCTCTGAATATTTGGGATGCCTTTATGAAGCATCACTAAGAAGTGCTCAAGATCATCTGATATCCTTGGAAAGATGTGCAGAGCTTTATATCTCCATAAGTAGTCTAAAGACTAATACCATTTTTTTAATAAAGAAAAATAAGTTTAAGGAAAAAATAAACTTTCATGGTCTTTTTGGGTAACCCTGGCCTCAGGTGTGCCTGAGCAGCTGGAGCATTTGGGGGTGAGGAGCACGTATCCACCCAATGGTCCTACCTTCCTACACTCCCCCACTTGGCAGACCCGTCATGGAAGATCTGCTCACTGCTGCAGAGGACAGGTCTCAGAAAGGAAAAGTGCAAGTCAGAAATGGCTGCTTCTCCTTCATCCCTGGATTCATTTCACCAGGCAGGGCAGATTTCAATATTAGAAATCTCTGCTCCTGATCCGGTAGTTAAATCCTCAATGAGAAAGCATTTCTGAAGACCGGTCTTGACCATAACTCTCCACAGCACATTATAACAGTTCACAACATATCACTTCCTATGTACTGGGCTTGGTAAATGTGCTAAACTTGAAAGAGTAAAGGGATCAAAACTGAGGGGACGGAGCAGTGTTGTATATAGTCTTTACAAGGTATGGCACACTTTGCTTTGACAACGTGTGTAGTCTGTAAGTCTGTTTTTTTTTCCCAACTTGTTTCTGATAAAAGCTTTGCTAGCTTTGATTTTCTATTGTGCTTGAAAGGAAGGAAATACATTTCCGTAGCTGGTCTGAAATGCAGCAACTGAAAGCTGATTTGTGTAAACTTTCAGCAGGTGCTTTTGGTTATACTTACCAAATGCCTTACCACCAAATGCATTTGATGCTGATTCTAAATTCTCATAACTCTAGTTTCAAGATTAATATACTTAATTTTGGTGTTCCAAAAGTTGCTTAAGAGTTTACCTTGATGGCTTTCCTCTGATTGAGGTTTTGAGGTTTTTTGCATTTTCTTGTGACATGTTTCCAGTGTCTTTTAGAGGAAAAGATACAAGTGCAGCCCCCAAAAAACTTGTCATGGCTTTCTGAGGAAGACTCTATAAGCAGAGAGTCTGTCTGCCTCATGGCTGGGTGGCATTCTCTTGTACCTTGTTCAGCAAACAACATGCTGCTTCAGCTGTGCTTAGCTAGCCATCAGGTCTGAAGCACAAGCAGGTATCCCATAGCACAGGAAGGCTACTTTGTAGGATGGGTGCTGTGATCGACACCAGGCTGCAGCACACTGTCCTGCACGGAAAGTCTGATACTGAAAGTGTTTCACAATAATCAATGAGTTTATTCCTTGTCATGTGCAGTGCAGTAAATGAACTCAACAGCTCTGTCCCCAGCCCCATGGGAAAGTGCAGCGTGGTTTCTGTGAAGGAGGACCTGGCTCTTGATTCTGGCTGCAGTGGGAATTGCTTGCTGGAAAGCCATCTGTGCACTGTCACAGCAAAGCCTTAAAGCTTCTCTTTCTGACAAATCAGGAAACTCCCTTGCTCAGAGTTTATCAATGTTCTCTTTGCTTTTTGTTATAAAGCGCTTCTAAAGTCAAAGCTTGAGTGTATTCTAAGCAAACACAGCTGCATGTTTGCATTGGTGTGGCAGTCGCTTCTGTGCTTGCGGTCACTTGCTTTGTTCCATCAGTCAAAATTAATTACTTGATGGAACTTGAGTGTTGTTTCACCATCAACCACCTCATAGGTTCAGATGTGCCAGACTTCAGCAGACATGATAGGAAGAAACGGAGCTTTTGCTCTAGCCCTGGAGGTGTTTGCACTGCCCTGGAGGAGGAACCCAAGGTTTCTGTGGTGTTTCACTGTTGTTGCTGGAACAGCTGTTGTCATCTGCTGCTACTATTTACTGCCTGAGATTTACTGCCTTCTCTCCTCTTCAGCTGCTGAGTGTCTTTCAAAGAAGACAAACTGGGACAGTGCTATTTCACCAACGCTCACTGGGGAGAGGCGCTGGGAGAGCAATAATGTTCTTTTTACCCTCTCACACTTTTCCCAAGATCTATGCTTCAACTCTCTGGAAGCTAAACCATCAGAAAAGCTTCATTTGGTAAGCTGATTTTTCTGCCCTGGATACCTGAACAAATACACTCCTTTGGTAGAAATTTGTCCTTAGATTGGTGTAGCTGGCAAGTCCTTTGTGTTGAAAGTAGATAAGAGACAATGTGTCACTTATGGCCTCTCACTTTCTTTGTTTAAAGGATTTCCATTGTAGAGGAAACATTTGCGCAGAATTGCTCAGCAGTTCATAATCCAAAATGCAAATTTTTACTCTTGTAGGGAAAAAAGAAAATAAAATGCTAGGAACCTGTCTTTATTTAATTGTTGCAAGGAACACTGTATTGGGCATAAGTGTCAGGGTTTGGGGCACTGGGACTGTAGGTGTGGTCTGTGTAGGAGAAGAAAGCCATGAGCATGAAAACAGCTTATTGCACACCGAAACTGCAACCTGTCAGAGCAGCTAATGGCACCTCTGCTCAAATGCCTTTAAGAAAGGGTTGTAGCCTCTCTAGGGACAGGAGTCGTGGAGAAGAGACAAGACAGGAGTCACAAAACAGCACCATAGGAGGACAAACATGGGAAGACATGTGAGGAGTCACAAAACAGGAGCTGACATGGGGCAGGAGGCCCAAAAAGGCCTGCACAAGGACAAGCAAAAGGACACAGGAGCAAAGGTGTGAGGAGGTGGAGGGGATGGGAGAGGAAACACAAGACGGTGAAGAGCTGTCTCTAGAGCAAAGGAAGGATGTGGAGGAGGCTGTGGAAGAGGATGCTGTTGGATACATGGCTTGAGATGCTGTCTTGGAAGGACATGTTCAGTGCTGGAGAAGGTACCCTCGAGGGAATGTGGCCTGTGGGCAGTCCATGCCAGCACAGGGACATCCCTGAGGAACTGTGACTCGTGGGTAAGCCATAGCAGGACGGGGACATCCCTGAGGGACTGTGGCCCAATGAGAGCCTGTGCCAGGACAGGTACACCCCAAGAGACTGTAGGCTGTGGAAGACCCATGATACAGCAGAGGAGCACTAAGAAGCAAGGAACAGTGAAGCAAAAGAGTAAGATGTAGGGAGCAGAGGAAGGAAACTGCTATGTATTGCCTGAAGGAACTGGGACAGAGTGGGTGTAACCTGCAGGGAAAAGAGGGAAGTTGATACTGGAAGAGGAGTGTGGAAGAGGTGCTGGACTGAAGAGAAGCCTGGGGAAAGGGGAGGAAAGGTGTTTTCCTGAAGTGTTTGTTTAATTGCTTGGCTTTTTTTTTTTTTTTTTAAATTGATAACTGAATCAGTAATTAGAAGTTTCTGTTAATGGGTAATAAATGAAATTCCCCAAGTCAAGACTGTTTTGTCTGTGACAGTATATTTATTATGTTGGGATGCAAATTGGTTTAGCAATGACACGGTCTAAGAGTGCAAACCTCAGGTGGATGTAACCTGGGAGGCATTTCCCCTCTCTGTACATGAAACTGATATATCCTCGCAGTGCTGGGTTGGCACGTTGGCATTTTCCCAATTACAGCTTTCTAGAGAAGGACCAGCCCCAGCTAGCTGCAGGTGTTCACGAGTGGTGAAGGTAAAAGCCACAGAACAAATAAATCTCCCATGCTGACAATGCTCTTCTTCCTTCCAAACCAGACTGGAGCTGCAAAGAGAAATGGGAAAGAACAGGGTGGGGGCAGTTGGCAGGGTTGTGCCATTTCTTGTAACTATGTGGAAAGAAAATGTGTGTTGTCCTCTTGAAGTCTTAAGGAAAGTCAAGGGCATGGAGAAGAAAGGCAGCACACTGTGACATGGCTGGTCCCAAGCCTGCCAGGGCCTGGTGCCACCAGCTCTGAGTGACTTGGTACGTGTTGAAAAATTGCTAGATTTTTTTTTTTGTTCAATTAGACAAAAAAGTGAGAGATGAACCTCAGTGGAGACTTTTTTTTCCAACTGAAGTATGATTAATTCAAAATGGTAAATCCTGTACTGTCATTAAGCTGACCTGTAGCTGTCTGCAGCAGGCATAATGGAGTTCTCTATTACATTCTGCACTTTTTCAGTTTGTGTCATAAAACTTCTGCTTTTACTGATGGATTGTATTGATTGTGTTTCTTTTAAGTCATGCAAAATCTTACCACAAAGGAAGAAACAGGTCAAAATAGAGAAGCACAAAAATGTTTTGCATCTTGCAGACAACTTCACTTTTTTCTTCTTCTTTTAAAGAGAATATTCTTTGTGAAACCTTACTGGTTTTCTATACTAAAAGCGTAGCACTGCTTGGAGTATGGAGGCTTTGAGGAAAGCATGGGTACATTGTTCACAGTTCTCTTTAACTAGACTGTGCATTGCAGGAGTCCAATGCACCTTATTTCAGGCTGCTAAAAACTGTTGGATTTTCTGGTAGATAAATTCAGCTCTGCTCTTGCATCTGCTGCAGCATATCTCTTTATGGTTAAATCCATGCTTTGGACTTCAGAGAACTAAACTTGGTGTCTGGCCAGGACAGTAAATGAGCCTTGTAAAAGGCACAGGTTGCCCAGAGAGGTTGTGGAGTCCTCTCCTTGGAGATCTTCAACATCCAACCCAGACGCAGCCATGGGCAACTTGCTCTAAGTGGCCATGCTTAAGCTGGGGTTTAGACCTGACGACCTCAAGAGGTCGCTTCCAGCCCCAGACATTCTGTGGTTCTGTGCTCCTGCACTACTCAGAGCTTATGCAGATGGGCCACTGATGGCCCCCATGGAGGGCCTGGGAGCAGTGGGCCCAGCATGATATTATTTGGGCTCCCCCTCCTGCCATCATCCCTCTGAGCTCCTTTGTGGGTGTGCAGGTGAGTTTTATTGCACCCTCTAACAACCTGAAAAAGGGCTATGGTTTCTGGTGGGGGCCTGTGGGCATTGCTATGGTATGGAGAAGCCAGGACACTTTTTAAGAAATGTTCCAAAGGTATAATTTAAGCATGCTGGCATGCTTAAATTCAACATGTAATTTAAATTCAGTGTTCAGTGTGTAGTTCTGCCATAGTGCTGTACTATGTCTTGTGGTCTGCTGACCTGCCTGTTAATGTATTTTCTGTTTTCCTCACCACCAGATCACGATGTGTCTTGTGGTAGAACAAGCTCTGATGGGAACAAGAATGCTCAGGATGCCCAACTGCCTGCTAAAACTGACCCGGTTGGTGCTGAGCCACAAGCTGAGGGCCCTCTTCATCCTCACCTTTAAGTTCATGTCCTTTGTCTCCATCCTGTTGTACTGGAGAATCACGGAGGATGCTAAGGTCAGGGACCAAGTCTACAGCTTGCCTACTGAAATCCACTGTGCTCACTCTGTGCCATCTCCCGCCCGTCCCGTTGCTGATGGGCCTCCTCCTCCACCTGGGGATGTGTTTTTTGTGGAGACCTCTGAGCGAATCAACCCAAATGACCTGTTCACATGCTCTGTGGAGTCAGCTGCACGGACACACCCTGGGACAAGGGTTGTGGTGCTCATGAAAGGCTTGGCCAAAAGAAATGCCTCGTTACCCAACCACTGGGGCTTCTCATTGCTGAGCTGCTTCCCCAATGTGGAAATCCGGCCCTTGGATTTGCCAGAGCTTTTCTCTGGGACACCTCTGGCAAAGTGGTACTCGCAGGCTCAGCAGCGCTGGGAGCCTTATTTCTTCCCCATCCTGTCTGATGCCTGCAGAATTGCCATCATGTGGAAATTTGGTGGCATCTACCTGGACACAGACTTCATTGTGCTTAAGAACTTAAAGAACCTCACCAATGTGCTTGGTACCCAGTCCAAGTATGTACTGAACGGGGCCTTTCTATCCTTTAAGCCCAGACACAAGTTCATAGAGCTTTGCATGCAGGACTTTGTGGAGAACTACAACAGCTGGATCTGGGGGCATCAAGGCCCACAGCTCCTAACGCGTGTCTTCAAGAAGTGGTGCTCCATCAGGAGTCTTCGGAGCAGTAAGAGCTGCAAAGGGGTAAGTGCTCTTCCCCGGGAGGCTTTTTATCCCATTCGGTGGCAGGACTGGAAGAAATACTTTGAAGTGGTGAGCTCCTCAGAGCTTCAGGAACTCCTAAAGAACACCTATGCAGTGCATGTATGGAACAAGAAGAGCCAAGGGACAAGGCTAAAGATCACATCACAGGCGTTGCTGGCTCAACTGCATTCTCACTTCTGCCCTGCCACGTATGATATCTTGAAGATGGATTCTGAACGGCAGTGACTCCAAGGATCAGCTAAGAGAAGTTGCCTGGGAGCCCCTATCCCCTGAGCTGTTCTATCACAGATGAACCCTCTTTTGAAACAAGGTGGTGGGAGTTCACGAGAAAAGATATTTGTGGGGTGTAGGTGGAGCCCATGGTTTCAGACCATCTGTGCAGCCTTTTGCCTTGGCTTTAACAACATTTTGGTCCTCTGCAGGACCCTTCTTCTGCTCTGCTTGGTCTGGTGGAGAAATGTCAGAAGGGAAGTGAGTGCTGGTCCACTTGTGGCAGCCCCTTCCTTACTCGGAGGACTAAGATCCCTTGCTATGACTTCAAATTTGGAAGGGACCTTTGTAGAAATGTGTATCTCATCTTCTGTCACTGACTCTCAAAGCACCAAAAGGATGGGAGAACAAAGAACAAGAACTGAAGGAGTTAAGGGTGTGCTAGAGGAAGTGTCCTGAAAAAAAATGTAGAAGAAAACAAAGGAAACAAAGAAAGGGGAAATGGCTAAAGCAACGCCTCGCCTCGCCTCGCCTCGCCTCGCCTCGCCTCGCCTCGCCTCCTCCCCTTCCCCAGACTTTGGTGGAAGGGACTTTTTCATCTGTGGTTTGAGCACAGAGCAGAACAGTGGAGCCTCTGTTCAGTGTCAGATCCCAGGACTTGCTTGAAACTTTGGTGTGAATCAGAACAAGAGGATCTGAGGCCAGTTAATCATTTATAAAGAGCTCTTGCACAGCAATGTTTTATTTTATATTAATGGCAAATTAACACCCTGTGATGAGTAGGAGAGCTCTTCCAAATACAGCTTAAATTTCATGTGACACAGGAAGAACTGAACTATCTTATCCACTGGTTTTGTAAGTGTGAGCAAATATCAATAACTGCATCTAGTATCTTTCAGCACTTGGACTGATCCTACAGGAAAGAGGTGATGTTTCTAAATATTCCCAAGACTAAAGAGAGTTTGATAGGAAATCTATACTGTCTAAATGCAAGTCAAGGAACCGAACCATTTATGGTGGACCTCTTCAAGTAGTTTGGAGCCCTCCTGTAATTCACTGTGCAGGAGCAGAAGTCTCTCCTGGGAGGTCTTGAGAAGTACAGTCAAAAGATTTAATCTTTTATTGTGAGTGTTTCACTTAACTGCAATCGAAAAAGTTAATGTATTTCTTTTAAGGTGCTGTTGTGCCTTTGAGGGTTCCCAACATAGAGGATTTTTTTTTTTTTGCACAAATGGTGGCAGAAAACCCAAAAGGATATATTGATTCTCCTACAGCTCTTGATTTTCTTACAGTTCTTTGTCTGAAAATATTAGAGAAAGAGCTGCAAGAAGCAGGAGTAAGGTAGAGTCTACCAGTCTCATTACATCTGTTCACCACCACAGTCTCAGTAGGTTTGCCAAGGCACATGAGTGTAACACTAGAATGGGGTTGACAGAGGTGAACAGAGTATTGGCCACCCTGTCTCCTGCACTATTAAGAAGGTGTTCCAATTACCCTTCTGATGATCACAAGTCAGTCAGATCTCCCATGTCACCTAGCCTCCTAGCAAGAGCTTTTTCAAGTGGTGCTAGCTGCAGGATTGTGACTCAGATGACTGCTAGGTCTGCATTTGTCTGAGGCCTCTTCTGTTTCCCACATCATATATAAGAAAGGTGAGGTTTGCTCAGCTTAGCTCAGGCAAAGAAGTAAAAGACTGTGCATGCGAGGACAACATTTCTCTGTTTGTCTTAGGTTTATTTGTCTTTTCTCTGATGATAAAAATGAGAAAGCCAAATTGCCCATCACTTTTTCACAACAGCTCCCTGGGGAACACGGCTGTGGAAGCTTAGGAGGGTGTGCACCTTTTGTTTATTTGTCTGCTGAGCTATCTGACTGGAAGCTAGTGCTGCTCTACAATGAAAGCTACCTGCCTTCAAGTTGGGCAGAGTGGCAGCTCCATGCACAAGCAGCTGCTCTGGAGTGAAGAAGGTTCTGGAAACACCCCTCCACTGGCTGGCACCCCATGCACGTACATATGTAGGTAATGCCATGTGCTGGGGCTGGCTAGGATGGAGTTAACTTCCCCCACAGCATCCCATACAGCAGTGCAATGCTCTACACATGTAGCTAGAACAGCATTGGTATTACACCAGTGCTTTGCCTATCGCTCAGCTGTGCTCCACAGCACCAAGATTCTCTCCAAACCCCAGAGACAGCAGGCTGTGGGTGGGCAAGGGGTGGGGAGGGGACATCACCAGGGCAGCTGACCAAAACTGACCAAAGGGATATCCCATACTGTGTGGTGTCACACTCAGCAATAAAAGGTGGGGAAGAGGGAGGAGACGGAGCGGGGGGGCTCGTGATGAAGATACCCTGTCCTCCCAACCAATGGCTGCACATATTGAGGCCCTGCTGCCCAAGACGTGGCCAGACATTACTCACTGATGGGATGTAGAGAATAATGGTTTTCTCTATTTGTTTCTGTGTGGCATTTGCTTTTTTTTTTTTTTTCCCTTTAATTAAACTGTCCTTATCTCAACCCGTGAGGTTTTTTTTTTTTTTTTTTTTTTTTTTTTTTCACATCCTATTTTTTCCACCTGTACCTTTGAGGAGGGAGAGTGAGAGAGAGTGGTGGAGGGAGAGTGGTTCAGCAAGTCATCAGTGTGAAACCACCATGTACTCTCTTTTGTTCTGCTCAGCTTTATAGGTATATCCTGCAGACATTCAGGGTTTTGAATGTCTGCAGCTCTTCTGGCACTGAAGAAATTGGACTCAATGATCCTTATGGGTCCTTTCCAATGCGGGATATTCTGTGATTCTATGAACATTTTTAAGAACCTTTAAGAATGTCTTCTGCTTGTGGGGAGCAGTAGTTTTTCCTGACTGCACTGAGTGGTATAAGTGGATGCTATTTTCACTTCCTACTCTCTCTGTCACTATTTTTTTTTTTTTTTTATTCTTCCTCCCACTGCCCCACTGTTTTATTTAGATGCAGACAGGGAATTGTCAGCCATGGCCTAGTCTGTGGTCACTGGGGAAAGTTTTGCATAGTTTCTCCTTCTACTGGTTGTTTCTGTTTTGGGCTCTTTGGGCTAAACAATGGAAAACTTAGTGAACTAGAAACCCTTACCAGAGATGGTAAAATGGTGGTTTGTGATCATAAAGGCATAACAGGATGTCTACTGTGGTAATTCTATGAACAGAATACAGATGTGTTTGGGACCTACTGCAATGGATATCAGGCTTGGTGTACCATAGCTTATTCTAAGAAAGTGCCTTTTTGCATACATGTAGTAGTTTTTTCTTGTTTTTCTTTGTTTTCCCTGCTGAGTCAGTGTTCCAAGGTTTGATAATCAGAGAATCAAAGCGAGGTAGACTTTGGCCTCTTTCCCTTTGTCTTGTAAAAGAAAAATAAATATTTTTTTTTACTATTTCTTCTCTTTGTCAAGATGTTCTGTTTTGTTCTGAGAGGTGTTGGTGGCAGGTCTGAGCAATCTGTTAGTTATTATGCTGTGAAGTATTTTAAACTTGTGTCCTGAACTGACTCAATAAAATGAGGAGTGTGAAATGAATATGAGTCAAGATAAGCATGATCCCATGTGGAAGGAAGGCTCTGGGAATCATGGCTGTGATGCTGTCTATGGGGCTTGAGGGGAGGGTACAGAGGAAAGCACAGGGCATGGTACTGATTCCTACTTGAAACAGGCTGGAATGTCTGGTTAGTTTGAGTAATCTGCTTGTTTTTGTCCCCTTCCAACCCCTTGCACATCCACAGTCCTTTTACTGGAGCAGCAGAGTGAGAAATAGAGAACGCCATGATACTCTGCAAGAGCTTCTCAGAAATAGCTAAAACATCAGTGTGTTATTAGCATTGTTTTGGTCACAAATCTAAATACAATACCACAGAAGATGTTATGAAGAAAATTAGCTCTATCCCAGCCAGACGCAGTACCGGTAAGTAAGAGACTGACATATGAGGGGAGGCTGGGAGAACTCAGATCATTTTGATGATCCACAGAACATCACCCATGAACATCATCCATTTGATAGGATGAGAGGCAATGGGCATAATCACAGAATCACACAGAATTTCTAGGTTGGAAGAGACCTCAGATCATCGAGTCCAACCTCACAGCTAACAGTCCCCACTAAACCATATCCCTAAGCTCTACATCTAAACGTCTTTTAAAGACTTCCAGGGATGGTGACTCCACCACTTCCCTGGGCAGCCTGTTCCAATGTCTAACAACCCTTTTGGTAAAGAAGTTCTTCCTAACATCTAACCGAAAACTCCCCTGGCACAACTTTAACCCATTCCCCCTCATCCTGTCACCAGGCACATGGGAGAACAGGCCAACCCCACCTCTCTTCAGCCTCCTTTAAGGTATCTGTAAAGAGCAATAAGGTCGCCCCTGAGCCTCCTCTTCTCCAGGCTGAACAAGCCCAGCTCCCTCAGCCGCTCCTTGTAGGACTTGTTCTCCAGGCCCCTCACCAGCTTCGTCACCCTTCTCTGGACCTGCTCAAGCACCTCGATGTCCTTCTTGTAGCGAGGGGCCCAAAACCGAACACAGTACTCGAGGTGCGGCCTCACCAGAGCCGAGTACAGGGGGACAATCACCTCCCTAGCCCTGCTGGTCATACTGGTTCTGATACAAGCCAGGATGCCGTTGGCCTTCTTGGCCACCTGAGCACAGTGCTGGCTCATATTCAGCCGACTGTCCACCATTACTCCCAGGTCCTTCTCTGCCTGGCAGCTCTCCAACCACTCATCTCCCAGCCTGTAGCTCTGCTTGGGGTTATTGCGCCCCAGGTGCAGGACCTGGCACTTAGCCTTGTTGAACTTCATGCAGTTGACCTCAGCCCATCGGTGCAGCCTATCCAGATCCTCCTGCAGAGCCTTCCTACCCTCAAGCAGATCGACACATGCGCCTAGCTTGGTGTCATCTGCAAACTTAGTGAGGGTGCACTCAATGCCCTCGTCCAGATCATCGATGAAGATATTAAAGAGGACCAGCCCCAGCACCGAGCCCTGGGGAACGCCACTAGCGACTGGCCTCCAACTGGACTTGACTCCATTTACCACGACTCTTTGGGCCTGGCTATCCAGCCAGTTTCTAACCCAACGAAGCATGCGCCAGTCCAAGCCAAGAGCAGCCAGTTTCTTGAAGAGAATGCTGCGGGAGACGGTGTCAAAAGCCTTGCTGAAGTCAAGGTAGACCACATCCACAGCCTTTCCCTCGTACACCCAGCGTGTCACTTTGTCATAGAAGGAGATCAGGTTCGTCAAGCAGGACCTGCCTTCCATAAACCCATGCTGACTGGGCCTGATCGCCTGCTTGCCCTTCAAGTGCTGCATGATGACTCTCAAGAGGATCTGCTCCATGAGCTTCCCTGGTACTGAGGTCAAACTGACCGGCCTGTAGTTCCCCGGGTCTGCCCTCCGGCCCTTCTTGTAGATGGGCGTCACATTTGCTAGTCTCCAGTCAGCTGGGACCTCCCCCGATAGCCAGGACTGCTGATAAATGATGGATAGGGGCTTGGCCAGCTCCTCTGCCAGTTCTCTCAGTACCCTTGGGTGGATCCCATCCGGCCCCATCGACTTGTGCACATCCAAGTGCCGTAGCAGGTCACCAACCAGTTCTTCGTGGATGGTGAGGGCCACATCCTGCTCCCCATCCCCTTCCACCAGCTCAGGGTTCTGGGTATCCAGAGAACAACCGGTATTGCCGCTAAAGACTGAGGCAAAGAAGGCATTGAGCACCTCCACCTTTTCCTCATCTCTTGTAACTAAGTTTCCCCCCGCATCCAGTAAAGGATGGAGATTCTCCCTAGTCCTCCTTTTTGTGTTGATGTATTTATAAAAGCGTTTTTTGTTATCTTTAACGGCAGTAGCCAGATTGAGCTCCAGATGAGCTTTGGCCTTCCTAATCTTGTCCCTGCACAGCCTCGCTACATCCTTATAGTCCTCCTTAGTGGCCTGCCCAATTTTCCAAAGATTATAAACCCTCTTTTTCCTCCTAAGCTCAAGCCACAATTCTCTGTTGAGCCAGGCTGGTCTTCTTCCCCGCTGGCTCATCTTTGGGCACATGGGGACAGACCGCTCCTGCGCCATTAGGATTTGCCTCTTAAAGAGCGCCCAGCCTTTCTAGACCCCTCTGCCCTTCAGAACCGCCTCCCATGGGACTCCACCAACTAGTGTCCTGAGCAGCCCAAAGTCAGCCCTCCGAACGTCCAATACAGTGGTTTTACTGGTTCCCTTCCTGGCCCCGCCAAGAATAGTGAACTCCACCATTTCGTGGTCACTCTGCCCAAGACTGTTCCCGACAATCACATCCTCCACCAGTCCTTCTCTGTTTGTGAAGAGAAGGTCTAGCGGGGCACCACCCCTGGTAGGTTCACTAACCAGCTGCGTCAGGAAGCTATCTTCCACGCTCTCCAGAAACCTCCTAGACTGCTTTCTCTGGGCTGTGGTGTGCTTCCAGGATATGTCAGGGAAGTTGAAGTCCCCCACGAGTACAAGCGCTGAAATACAGATAGTCCAACTGAAACAAAACAGTGGTGAAACATTGGAACAGGTTGTCCAGGTAGGTTGTGAGGTCTCAGTCTTTGTACATAGTCAAACCTCAGGAGGACGCAGACCCAAGCAACCTGCTGTAGGTGACTCTGCTTTGAGCAGGGTGACTAGGCTAGATGATCTCCAAAGGTGCCTTCCAACCCCAGCCCTTCTGTGATTTTGTGGCTAGATGGAGCCTGACCTGAGGCTTGAAGAGCTCCAGTGATGGGAATAGCTACAGGTGCTTTCCTAACAGCTTCCCCAGTGTTGGTACCTTATAAGTGGGTCTGTGGTGATGCAGTGCTTGAAAGATCTGGGGAGGGGAGAATGAGTATGGGAAGCTACAGACCTGATATTTGTTGTAGACAACTGAGTAGAAACTGCAATAAATCCTAAACTTAGTGGCTCTATGGGTAAAAGGTGGACATTTTATGAACACATCGATGTGTCTTCTTTAAGGGAAGGTCAGCAGCCAACGAGTACAGAGACAACGGGGAATTGTTAGAAAACGAGGGCCACCTGAGTTGAGAAAAGCTATTCAATGAAGTGCCTGGCATAAGGATGAAGCTTCCCAAATGGATGAGTAAATTAATTGGTGTAAAGTAGTGTGTGTTCAAAGAGCACTCAGGACCTCAGGTGTTTGGGTGAGAGGAGACAGCTCTATGAAACTCTGCTCAGTTCTTATGGCTGTCACCCAAACAGTGTGAGCACTGGGAATTATTAGCAAAGGAGTAAAAAGCAAAAGGGGGGAAATGGCTAAAGCAATTTAAAGCAATTTTTTTTTTTTTAATTGGAAATTTGGTGTGAATCAGAACAAGAGGATGTGAGGCTAGTAATATCCAGAACAGCATGAGCTGCAAAGGGGTGAGTGCTTTTTCCCCAGAAGCTGTGAATTATATTCCCTGGTGGCAGTGGAATAATTTATTTGCAGCAATCAGCTCCTTGAAGTTTCAAGAACTCCTGAAGAACATCTATGTAGTGCATGTAGGGAACAAGAAGAGACAAGAGACAAGACTAGAGATCACATCACAAGTTTTGTTGTCTTAGCTGCATTCTCACTTCTATCTTGCCAGATATGAGAACATGAAGAAGGTCTCTGAAGAGTAATGAAATCCTGTAATGGGATCTAATGGCCTTGGCTTCTGGGACGTTCCCAAACCTGAAAGAAACTGGATGCTTTTAACATCCCACAGTTTTCAGCCCGTGGAGCAGGTATTCCGGGTGGCATCTCTGTGATTTTGTACCATTTCTAATATCTGCATTAGAGCTTATGTATTTGAAATATAAACCAGATCTCAGTTCTGACTCTTGTCTTGTCCTTCAGTAGCCCTTGCTGCTGCAGAGAGGGGTAAACATGTTCATTAGGGCCTCCCAGTTGCTCCTCTTTTGCTGTTCTAGCAATTGTTCTTCCCATGAAAAATAAGAAAAGCCTCTTATTTACTTTCAACAGATGTAGGAACCCTTGGCTTGCTCTGTGTAACATTTTAAAGTATGTAAATAACTACCAACCAGTGCTATAGAACATTCCTTGGCTGTTTTAGAGGAGCTGTTCTGAGGCTGCTTTTTAGAGGCTGTTTTGTTCTTAAGAACAAATTTCCGGACTGTAAAAATTATTTCCGGACTGTAAAAATTATTATGACTGATCAAGTTTGGGGATAGACTGGTAGTATATTAAAAATTCTTTAAGAAAATAAGAATATTTTTAATCTCTGCTTGGCTCGGTGTTAAATTTTTCTCACTTGCCATAGGCACTTTATTTCAAATGATCTTTTCTATTGTTTTACATTCTACAACGATAGGCTTACTTTTCTGGTCCTATTGAGAAAAATAAGTAGGCAAAAGCAGTTCTTTTACCAGAGCGGAGAAGTGTAAGAGATATTGAGAACAATACTCTCCACCTGAGTCACTGCTTGGAAGTAAATATGTCCTTATCAAAATTCAACACCTGCAACACCTTGTAACATATTTAAAATAGCATGGTGGAACAGTCAGTGATTAGGAAGTATTTTCTTGTGGCTTATTTGCCTCTTATTGTGAGAGAGTAAAGTAAAAGAAATAATTAGCAACCTGTATTAATGCAGCTCATACCTAATTTATACTCACCTTTTCCATTGTGTGTAGAAACATGTATTTTATGACTTAATCTCTTACTCCTGTAGATACCTGTTCTTGAATTCAGAGAAATTGTCATGTCATAGGGAGTGTACAACTTTCCTCAATGCTATGCATTTGTTTGATTTAGAAGAGTTTTTCCATCAAAGTATTTCTATCAATTGTGAGGACTAGTCTGTGAAAAAACAGGCTGAGCAAAGATACAGGATGCTCAAAAGTACGGCTTGTCACGCATGTCTTGTAACTCTCATTTTTGGGCTAGATAGTAAAAAATCAACGTCTTTATACAGTAATTTGCCATGGTTCAGATATGCAAAAATGATTAGTCACTAATAGGACAATCTCCTTGGCTGTATGTCTGAGTTTCTTTTTCTCTGTCATTACTTTGTACTTGCTGTTTTTTCACTACATAGAAATCCCACTGCATTCACTGACTGCATGTGGGCAACTCTGCTCCCAAAGGGAGCCTCCAGACTGGCAACCCTGTAGGATTAAAATCAGCACATGCAGGTTCCTGTATGGTAAACATAAGCAGAATGAGCCCGTGGCTTTCTAGACTGAACTACTTCTTCTTTTAACAACCACTCTATTTTTTCCCCCCCCTACAAAAATGACAACAACAAATTTATAAAAATCTGTTTACACCTAACAGTTTACATAACACGCAAAATGCAATGCTGGACACAGGACTTTTGGGTTAGTTATGGTGTCATTTTGGGGCTGAGGCTGCTGTGACTTCAGTTGGGCCATCAACCAGAGGGGGGCTCAGCATGGTTCCAAGATTTTGAAGCCCAAGTGAAAGCTAATGCTCCAAACTAGAGGTGAGACTTGAAGTGGACAGCTGTTGCTTTGTTACCTTTCCAGTAACCCTAACCCCAAAGAAGGATAAGAGGATAGCATGGGACAGAAAGCTATAGGGAGGGTCTGAAACTGAGCTCTGATGTGCTTTCCTACATGGAGCTCTGACATGCTTTCATGCGAGACTGCTGCTGGCAGCTGACTGAGAGCAGCTGGTGCCAGAGAAGTCCCTTTGCATCCTGCTGCATGCGTGTGAGCAGAGCTGGTCCCTGCTGCAGGCACTGGTGAGTGTCTTGCTGTGCCTGGCTTGCCCCTTGCTCCCTTCTGGGTGCTCCCTACCTCAGAGCACATCACTTTCAGTCTTGACCCACCTCATTAAGATAAAGGCACAATCGCTATTAAGTCTACCATCTTTATAATTAGACCTGGTAGGATTCTAATTGCCTGGGGGAAGGGAGAGACAATCCCAGTGTGATGTTGTAGTTGAAATAGGATCTTTACATTTAAAAGAGTACAAAGTTGACGTTTCCTCTGTGACCAGTTTTAGTGGGACCATCACTATTTTGTTATCATTTCTGCAACTGATATTGCCTGTACTATATTATTTTGATTCCGAATTCAAGAAAGAGCAGCATAGGTGACAGAAACCAAAGGAACTTAGCTATGCTGTGCTCCTTGTGCTTGTGCTTGGCTGAGATGTTTAAAGGCGGAAGGCAGCAAGGGTCAAATCAAGTTCCAAATAAGACTACATCAGCTGATTTACAGTAATTATATCCTGAGTTTCTCATAGCTTTAAAGAACACAGAGAGCAATCAACAAAAATTCAGTTACAAAGCAGTCACTGGAGACTGACCTCTTACTATGCAAGAAGGAGGGTATTTTAGGAGGTTTTGTTTGTTTGTTTGTTTGTTCTTCCCCACATACCCTGGCCATTCACAGTCCTTTGTAGAGAGGGAAATGATCTGGCTATAGCTTCTGTAGGCAGCAACCTGATTCTGGCTTAAGGCCTGGCTTAGAAGAGAAGTGGCCTAGATCTTAGGAGGTCCTTGGGCACCCTGCAGAAAAGTTTGAAGCAAACACTACATCATCTTGTCATTTCCTCCTTTATTATTTCATGCTGTTACAAAATGCTCTCAAATATGTTTTGATACTTAGTTCACTTTTTTTTTTCTTTTCCCTTGATTTACAGTAAAGTTGTCCTTTCTAATGACCTTCCTTAGTAAAGGAAGGAAACTTGTATCATTTCACAGAGTGTTTAAAATTCATGCTCTTCTTGTACTGCTTTTTAGAACCCCACACACATTGATGAAATGAAAAGAAGGTGCCTATGTATCAAAATATAATGAGATAGCCCATGTTCTCCCTTATTTCTGGAGTTCACTTGCATTGCTGTTGTTATGCATTATCAGAAACAAGGCAGCAGAACTACAACTGTATCTAAAGGCATATATGCAGACTCTTGCAAGATTTGCTTGAAAGCAATGGGTTTTTTCCTCTGGAGGGCCCACCAGGAAGAAACACCCACCACACAGCTGAGGCAGGCATGTGAGAAAAATGCTTTTAAAAGACCTCTGCTTAATGGGGGATTTGAACCTACTCTGTAACTTCAGCAGCTCAATGCAAAATGTGACATAACCCTCCCTTGGTCCTGAAGACTTTGTTGTGGCTGAACATCAGTCATTGCCTTTAGATTTTACCTGCCCCACTCGAGATGGCTGCAGAGCATGGTGATTTCCAGGGAAGAAAAAAAAAAAAAGTCTCTCCGTGCATTCCCCTTAAGTCAATTCTTCATAACAATGACCTCAGCATTTGTTTAAATATTCAAGAGGCTTAACTGTCTGAGAGTGATTAAACTATGAAAACTTGTAAACTGTCTTGAGCGAACAGCTTTGCAGGCCTGAGAAACCGAAACTGCTTTTAGAGCAGGTCAAGGTGGAGCCTACACACAAAAAGCAAAAGCTCCTCTAGAATTAATTTAGCTCTCTAGTGCTCAGCTCTTTGCTTCCTGAGGCCTTTTTTTTTTTTTTTTTTTTTTTTTTTTACAGAACAATTCAAGGAACCAGGGTTTGTTTCAAAGGAAATGGCATATCCTGGGCAGTGCCCTCAGGTGGGTGACAAAAGGCCCTTTGCTTTTGCTGCCCTCCTTCTGGAGCACTTGTTGTTTGTGAGGGGCATCCTGGCTCCCACTACACATCTCTGTCAAGGTGCCTCGGCCAGGCTGTGAAATGCTGGGATTTGCCAGGCTTGTAGCAAGGAAGCTTTTGAGGAGATGAAGCCAGGCTCTTCACAATGGTGCATGGTAGGAGGATGAGAAAACAGATATAAGAGGCTCAGACTGGATATAAGGAAAACCTTTTTCACTATGAGGACAGTCAAGTCATACAACAGGACATTTTCGGACTCTGTCACCTGCTTGTTGGCACCCACCACTTGTTAGCTGTTCAGTTCTGGTTTCGGTATTTTTCTAATACTCTGTTGACTGTCACCCAGGTTCAACAATTTCACTTTTGTTTCTACTTTCATTAGCTTGCTGACAGGAGTGTACGTATTTGCTCACCAACAATTTTTCTTACTAAAGCCAAGACAAGACTACACATCCATGCATCACAGAACCAAGCTTTGGTCACAGGACTTTGGGTTACAGTCTCATCCCTGGTGGCTGGATATCTTTAATACTGAGTCATTGCTACACTCAGTATCAGTGTCTGGCAGCCATCAGCAGGGTTCAGTGTCGTCTTTGTGGTAATACTTACCTATACACTTGGTCTTGTCCTGCTGCTACAACTTGCTTATCAGGTGATACTTGTATGGACTGTTCTGGTGCACGATTGTGCTCTTCCTTATCTTATTCAACTCAGCAAGCAATTTGTATTGTGGCTGTAGCTAACAGCACTTGTAACATGAGAAGAACTGCTTCTCTGCTTTAAATTCCCGTGCCACCATTCTCAACCAGTATTGTCACTGGGTGCAAGTTAATTCTATCAAAGCATTCCTGTATGAGAAAATAACAGCAGCTGCTAGCATTATTATTATTAAAAACAAAAAAAACAAACAAACAAACAAAAAACAAACAAAAAAAAAACACATTTGAAGATTATATTGCGCAAGCTAACTTAAATGAAGTTGTGCATGCTTGTTTTTCTGGAAGCCAGTACAACTCAATCTTAATTCATTCTACAAATTTCCTACTCTTATCTAAGTGTAATAACATTACTGAACACTTTCCACAGATCTTAGTCTACTGCATATTTTATTTAGGAAGACTGAAACTGAGAGATGTTGCCATGAGTGGCTAAGCAATTTGCTGTTTGTGATCATTATTCAACTATCTTATTGCTTTCCTTTCTTCCATACAGCAGACAGACTTTGTATTTCATTCTATATAACT